GGATGAGGGGTCGACCATGACACTCATAGAGGAGTGGATGGCTCAGAAGTTAGCGCCTCGCGGACGTAAAGAGGAATTACGTATCGAAGCCGTGGGAGGTAAGCGAATTAACGACGACAGTTCGTATCGCTTAAACGTTAAGATAAAAGGCATTTACTCGAGCGACTTAGAAGAGATAAGTGTACAAACAATTAAGTCACTTAACCTTTCTCCTCAGTCAGTAAGCCGAGAATTATTACAACGGTGTTCTCATTTGATACCGATTAAGGATGAGTTGATGTATGAGAGGTCCAGACCTACCATATTAATTGGCCAGGACAATTGGCATCTCATAGTTACTCGTGAATTAATTTCAGGAGGTAAGAACCTACCTGTAGCATCGCTCACCAAACTTGGATGGGTTTTACATGGTCACATATCGGGTGGTATTAAACCAATCAAGATTGTTAACCACATTTCCACCAAGAAGGAGGAAGATATGGATAAGTTAATCAAAAATCTCACATCGTTAACGGTTACGCAGAGAAAGCGAACCATATTTCCATTTCCCCACGTACGTGGTACCTTCCTCACTTCGCAGTGACTCACCCACAAAAAAAGAAAATAAGGATAGTTTTCGACGCCGCCGCAAGGATGGGCGGACGTTGTCTTAATGATGCATTGTTAACCGGACCGGACTTATTGAAGTCGCTGTTTGGAGTTCTGTTACGATTCAGAGAAGGAATCGTGGCAGTGATGGCAGACATTAAAGAAATGTTCCTGCAAGTGAAAATCCGGGAAGAAGACAGGGATAGCCTTCGATTCTTATGGCGGCACAATCGTGACGCGCCACCGGAAGAGTATAGAATGACGTCACTCATATTTGGAGCGGCATCATCACCATGCATCGCTATATATGTAAAGAATAGGAATGCGCAGGACAACGCACATATCTATCCAGAAGCAGCTTCCCACAGCAATTTTTTATATAGGCATCTCCCGACGTGACGACGGCCGAAAGGATAGTAAACGATATGTATGAATTACATAAACATGCTTCTTTCCAACTGAGGGGATGGGCTAGCAACCGACCCGAAGTTTTAAGTAAAATGGAAAATAAATATAAGAGCGACAGTGCTTCGCTGGGAGATAAAGAGCACACAGAGCGCACGATAGGTTTGATTTGGAATATCAAACGGGATATAATAAGTTGCTCCATAAGTCTTCGTAACACACCGGAAGAGGTGATGGAAGGTTTACGACCGCCTACGAAGAGGGAGATAACTAGCGCTGTAATGTCAGTCTTCGATCCTTTGGGACTCGCATCACCCATAACGATTCAAGGGAAGTCGCTGATCCAACAAGTATGGAGAACAGGCATCTCTTGGGATATAGAAGTTTCACACGAATTACACGTGTTATTTTGTAAATGGATATCGGAAGTGAAGAAATTAGGTCATTTAAAAGTACCTGGACCCGTTGCTGAAGGCGTCGGCAAGGGAGAGTTACACACTTTCACGGATGCTAGTGAAAAAGCATACGCTGCCGCGGTGTATTACGTCACCACGGACGAGCTAGGAGAGAGGCGGATTACGCTGATCGCCGCAAAGGCAAGAGTAGCGCCGCTGAAACCAATTTCGATTCCAATGCTTGAATTGCAAGCAGCTCTTATGGGCAGCAGACTGGCTGCATCAGTTAGTGAAGAGAGCAAGTACGAGATATCCGAGAGAGTATTTTGGACAGACTCACGTACAGTGTTAGCGTGGATCAAGTCAGATCCTCGCGCTTTTAAAGCATTCGTTGCTCATCGATTGGCTGAGATCGAAGATCACAGTAAGCCATGTGAATGGCGATGGGTTCCAACGTCACAAAACGTGGCAGACGACGCCACTAGAAATTTTCCTTCCACCTTCGATGTAAGTCATCGCTGGTTTCAAGGACCTGAATTCCTCAGGAAAAGTCCTGATTTATGGCCCAAACAAGTTGACACCATAAATAGCTTAGAAACAGGTGAAGAAAAATCGCCAAAGGGCGTAAATGCGTTGAGAAAGCAAGAACCGTTAAGTCTACCCGACTACGGACGATTTAGCAGCTTTTAGAAATTCCTTGGGGCAACTACACGCACCTTACAAGCCGTAGAAAAATTCAAGAGCTTAAGAAAGTCGGTTAAAGGACCCGACAGCGCAGCCGAAAAGTCGTTTATGTGTTCCAACAAAGTTTTAGCAAAGTCGGTTAAAGGACCCGATGGCGCGTTGGACATAGCGCTCTTGAAAAAAGCGGAATTATTAATTTGGAAGTTCGTTCAAGACGAGTGTTTTCATTCGGAAATAAAATGCTTGAAAGCAGGCAAAAGCGTTGAAAGAAGTTCACGCTTAAGTAAATTATCTATGGAAATAGGAGAAGATAACTTACTCCGTTTAAATGGACGTTTACCTTTCAAGTCTAATTTGACCGAGGAAAGTAGAAAACCTGTCGCATTGGACGGTAAACACGAAATCGTTAAAATGATGATTAGAGAAGTTCATCATCATTTTGGACGTGCCAATCACCAGACGGTGATGAATGAGGTGAACCAGAAATTTTATGTCTTGAACTTGCGTAATGTAGTACGTAGTGTGTCACACCATTGTCAGTGGTGCAGGACATACAGGTCAAAACCGCAGAACGTGCCACAAGGAAATATTCCTCTGGAAAGAATAACTCATCATGAACCACCTTTTACATGCTCAGCTGTGGATTATTTCGGACCTATGAGTGTGACCATAGGAAGGCGACACGAAAAACGTTGGGGTGTTTTATTCACGTGTCTGACCACCAGAGCAGTACATCTGGAATTAGCAGCCTCATTGACACTAGCGTCAATGATAATGACGTTGAGGCGATTTATCGCCAGAAGAGGAAAACCAGCCGTTATATACAGCGATAACGGGACAAATTTCAAAGCTGCAAATAAAGAATTATTGAAAGCATGCGAAGAACGCTACCGGGACCAGACGGTCACACCAGAGTGGTTGACGTCATTACTAGCACAGGTATCTTGAGGAGACCTACATCCAGAATAATAGTGTTAGTACCCGCGACGCTTCCCAAATAATGGTGCTTACGCACGTAGGGGAGATTGTTGGCGACGCGCCTATTAGAATATTTCAGTTTATTAAGTCAACCGATGACGAATAGCTTCTAAAAGGCAAATTGTTCAATAGCAATGTTCTAATAAGAAAATGCTTAGTTAAATCTTAAAGAAATGTCGAATTAATGATATGAAGGTCTTGGGTTCGACTCCCAGGCCGGACTAGTTTATTGTTTTCCTAAGTAATATCTCTCAATAAATTCATATAGGGAATTTTAAGATATAAATTATGTTACCGGATTGGTTCCCCGGTTGAAATCATCTTTCCAATGATGTAAATTCAAAGGAATATTAAAGTGAAACTAGAGATCGGATTTGTTCCCCGGTCGAGATGATCACTCTGTGCATAAATAGAATTAACGGAAATTAATTGCATAAGTATTGTCTTATATGAGTTTGATATGTTTTGTACGAAAACAAATGCCTATTTGCTATGATTGATTTATGAGAACATTCACTTATATTGTTATCTGATAAGAAACATGATAACTGATAAGAATCTGTTTAGAAATAGTTTCCTACAGTTTGAAAATTGTGTAGAAGCATTGATTCACCTTAATATCGTCGATATTGGTGTATGTAAGACTTTTCATTTTTTTGATAGTCGAGAGCCGTGCAAAAGTTAGTTGTTCAAATAGTGTGAGTTCACGGACGCACGCTAGCCACGCCCTTAGGAGGCCAAATATGTAAAAATTTAAATATTTGTAATTTCAGCAATTTATGTAAAAATGACTTGTAAAACATTTCAGGTTGATTGTACGTGCTAAAAAGGTGAATTCTGTGTTATTTTTATGTGAAAATTCCTGTGTATAAGTAAAATAATGATAGTTTTGTATAAGAAATATAATCCTTTCAGAACGACGAAAAATTCTCCCGCTTCTCAAAACTTTTACCTTAAATTCTAGATATACAATAGATAAAGTATTTAGAAAAAATAATAGAAAAAATCCCCCCTCTTTAAATTCCGCTGTAGCCCCCCCGCACGTATGTGCGCTCTCGTTTTTAAGTGTGCTAACGCACGATCGTGCATAGGGAATAAAACTGTAAAAAAATGTTTTCTATTATATTTATTCAATTATTATTAAAGAAAGTATTACTTTTTATAACTCAGTATTTTGATATTAACTTCTATTTCAATGAATTTTTGGTCTTTTTACACATAAATTACTGCTAAGTCTACATAAATCGGTCTCTTTTATATAATTAACAAACAAAAATATAATAATTATTATCTTAATTACTATTATCTTCAAAATAAAAAGTCATTCTAGACAACAAAAAATCAATACCTAAATGGTAGTTAAATAAATAAAACCAAACCGAACTAAAATTAACCCGTCACTTGTTGTAACGATGTAGTTTTTTAATCCGAGTGGTCTCGGTTTATTTTTTACTAAGACTCGCAATTTACGTTTCCCTGTGAAAGTTATAATATGTTCATCGATAGATTATTCACCTGCCACCCTTTTGAGTGACAAGCAAGCCTTCTCAACAGCGCCGAGAATGGGCTGTACCTTCCACAGCGGATTTGAATTTCCTGAAGGTAGTTCACCTGTGGGTACTACGTGCATGTTATTCCTTAATAAGAAATCTTGGCATTTGACTAGTGATTATTTCCAGGTGCACCTGTACGCCAGTACATAATATTAATTCATGGGTATGGTTTACAGCCCACCAATAAAAGTATACCAAATAATTTGCGCATCTCTTGAGAGGTTGTGCTTAAGAGCTTAAGACTGAACCAGTTTTACGCAGGTAGTACAAAATTGTGGAGTGTGCGATGTTTTTGAACGAAATCTTCATTGAAATATATAGAAATATATTGCAGCATTTGAGAGGGTTCCGGTTGAGAAGAAAAATTATGCTCCACATCAGTAAAAGTAATAGCTTTTCAGATTCTAGGTTTTATTTGTGCCTCCTGACTATTAGGCATTTCAAGGTGGCAGGAGTTTGCAGGTGGGGGTAAGTTCTCCTGATTTCTGTACTGTAGCTCTGTCAGAGTCATATTTTGATCTGACTCACTGTCGCTGTTATGATTACCTGGTGGAATCTCTGAGGGTATATCACCTTCATCATCTAGTAGTCGATGTACATTGACAGTCGATTCTGTCTCCTCATCCGATATGTCCAGGTCTGACTGACACCCATCTCCAAGCACATTTTGTAACAACTCGTAGTTTAGAGGTTGTCCTGAGAAAATAATGCGAGGTTATTGGTATGAACATTTAACTTAAGGAAAACAATTAAAAACGACAACGCACGATCGTGCGTTTAAATTTCGCGGGCCGGTTACCATAGTTAAAACTTGTAAAGTTGCTAGGATTATTTTACATTATTGTACGTGAACATTAAAATTAACTATTTCGATATGAAAAATAATAAATGTGATAAGTTATAATGAAAAATAATTTACTTACGTCGACCGTAGCGATCCACAAAGTGAACGTCCATCTTGAACACGTCACGACGCGCCACTTATATGCTCTACTCCCACACAACCCTCCGCATTATACGGCGAAATTAACGCACAAACGATCGAAGTCGTTTCCATACGGTAAAATAAAATTCAGTAATCAGTATAATTTTTTAAACATCAACGCACGATTAGTACAAGCCGTTCTGAAAGGGTTAAAAGTGTTTTAATAGTGAAATGAATAGAGAAAATGTAAATTAAACTATTGTATTAGTTAACATATGTATAATTTCAAGTGGGAAACATTGTTTTAACTTTCTATGTTAAATATTTAAGAAATTTCGACTTTGAACTTGTGAGTAAAATAGGCATATTTTGTTAAATAAATAAAAGGTTTTTTGTGATATGAAAATGTAATGTATATCGTAGTGTAGATATTGTTTTGTGCTATCTATACTGGTAAATTATGTTGATGTATGACTTATGCAAATAAAGTAATTAAGTAAAACGTGAGAGAGTAATAGAACAAATTCATGTAATTGAGTTGCGCAAGCGCGCGAATGGCGCGGCTCACTTTCGCGTATTGCTCTGGGGTAGCTTAGTAAATGAGTTTTATTGCAATTCGTTCGGGAAAGAAGTTCGGGAAATGTTCGGGAATCATACCAGCATTCAATAAGAAGAAGAAAGAAAAAGTGTGGGGAAGTGATAGGGAAAAGTGATTACTCTCTCACGGAACGGTTTGAAGATAATTGCTGTTTCATTCCCAAGAAATTCATCCCTCAAGTTATACAGTCCACATCGAAGAATTAAGGCGTTGGGACCGGGACGACTTCGGAAGACCCGTAATCCCCGTCTGAACCTACTTGCTGAAAAGGAAGAGGTTATCGCCCTTATGTGTTACTCCGTTGCGGAGATCACATACGTTGTTCCCGAACCCAACGTAGGCGTTATAGGAGGCCGGATCGAGAGAAGCCTCGATTCCTCCCTTCTGTTTCTTAGTTGAACGTTTGAACACGCTCTGGTTCCTTTTCAATTTACAAAAAAAACTAATTACGTAAACACCGTTAAAAAAAGTTTATCGACCAAATTGGCGATATTTTGAAAATGGGCCACGTTAGAAGTACCCTTAACCGACGAGCATGTATGCGTATGTAAGGATCGTGCCAAATGGAAGTCCGTAGTCTCTGCCTACCCCTCTGGGTGACAGGCGTGAGTGTTTATGATACGTTAAAAAACTCAAAACAAACATTCAATCGCCCACAACGCGCTATCCCCGACTGCGTATATTACCCTGGGTGCCTAGCGATTGTAGGTAATTATTTCACGCAGGTAGCAAGAGTGACAGAGGGCTGGTAACAGTTAGTTCAGTATCTTCTTTCTTCAATATTAAAACACAACCTACATAAATACAGCCCACTAAGCTCTCATTCATTACACAATAGTTTCTTTAAGTTTATTAGTCAGACAGATATCACAATTTTTTAGTTTCTTCTTTCTTCACCACAGTAAATTATAATAAATAATTAGTCAAATACAGTCCACTTAGTTCTCCATCAACTACAATACATATCAATGATATTCGTTAATAGCAGTGTTCCATTTCAGGCTTACTTCACGCACTAATTTCTAATTTTATAGCTAGTTGTGGGGTAAATTTTTCCTCACACTTGTAACCCTAAATATAGTGACGTATTATTGACGTATTAGTGACAAAAGAAAATATACGTAATATTTTCTTTTGTCCCTTTCTGCGACACGCTGTGGCGGAGTCTATAGGATTCTCTGGGTATGTTCCGAAATACAACACAGTACACTGTTAAATGCTAATGACGTCATCAATTGACACTATATTGTACTGGCGTGCCGCCGCCATATTGCGTCGGATATCCGGCCACAATAAAACAATTTTTAATTGTGTGTGCGCTGAATGAAGCATGCCAGAATTTGTTTCTATTTATTCAAATACAAAAAATTATAGAATAATTGCTGGTATATCCATTAGGAGGATATAATGATTTTTGGATCACAAAATGACAAAATAATCGCCAACACTTATCTAAATGGTGCAAAAGTATGACGTCATATACTGTCCAATGTTTTGGAACGAATCACCAGTATAGCGTCGACTTATGACGTCATTTGTATTGGACAGTACAGGGGGGTGGGTGGGGGGGGGAGGGGGGGGTTTTTTTTTTTTTTATTTTATAACAAATATAATTTAAAAAAAAAAAAAAAAAAAGTGTGAGGGGGCCCTGTAAGTGCGTGCGGCGGCGGTTTTTGTTTTTGGGGCGGGCGGGCGTTTTTGGAAAAAAAGGGGGGCGGTTTGTGTTTTTTTTCCTTTTTTTTCTAATTTTTTTTTTTTTTTTTTTTTTTTTTTTTTTTTTAAAATTTACCTTCTTTAAAAAATAAAAAAGGTTTTTTTTCGCCTCCGGCAATTTTGTCCCGGGCCAAAACTTTTTGGGTTTTAAGCGGTTGCTCGCTTTTTCTGCCAAACGCACCCATTGTGTTGTATTTCGGAACATAGCCTCTGTCTACGCTTAGTATGACAGTGCAGTGACAGTGACAGTTGATTCTTGAGAGCATGAGAAGATACGCCAAAGACTATACCAGAAAAGTTTCAGCTATGTTATAATAGAATTAAGTTTAATCGTTTACAGACTAAAACGATTTTCGAAGCTTAGTATAATTATAGTTGACACCTTATTCGCATATAATTTACGCCAGCTTCCTAACTTAATCACATTTAAAATGTTCCTTAAAAACTGTCTTAGAACTTTCTCTAGCCCTCGTATTCGGTTTTTATTAAATAATAACGTTAAAGCGTCTACTTTTGTAAATTATGAAAGTGTTGCGTCGCTATCAACATCAAAACTTGCACTGGAAAGTGAAAAGTAAGTACTGATTATTTTGCTGTTTTTATTCAATATTTTTTGACTGTATAGAGTGCAACCCATTGAGTGATGACAGTGACCTTTAGATGAGATGTAGGTTGTTTCCCTTGAGAACTAAGGTTGAAATCTCAATTTCCAAATTTGGAGTACAATAAATACAGCGTTGTTTTATATTATTGAACTATACAGTTCTATGAGAGTTCCATGGTCATGCTGAATACAGAAGTAATACAGCATGGCAACAAACCTGAAAAAACAAGTATCAGGAGTATATATATATATATTCCTGTCATTAGATAAATTAATTTGAAGTTAATTATATATTACTTATAGTATGCAGAGATGTCCGTGGGCAAGTCCGTCTAGTAAATTCCCTGCTTAAAAGTATTTCAGACTTTTCTCCCACATGCAGTACTATCAAAAATGTCTTTTTTTTTTAGAAAACTAACATAAAGAGTTGTCTTATTTATTTATCTAATCATTATTTTACACTTTATAGTCAGGGATATAAAAGATGAACTTAATGCCTTATGGGATTCCCTACCATGCAAGCTTTAGTATCCTGTGGCACAATTTCGAAGGTGATTTTAGTCTTTATTGATATGTAATAATGTTCTTATGCATGCCGTATTGGCTTTTTATATGGAAATACATACATTTTAAGAAATTATGAAGAAATCACTTACTATCAGGTGAACCACATGCTCTTTTGCCCCCTCTTCTAAAAAACACTTTAAAATTTTGAGCTTATTTGGTTTATAAATGAAAACACATTTATTGTCTACTGTTAAATAACGAGAAATATGTTAGAAAGAGAAAGATAGTTGAAATCTAGCAACGGTAACACTGTCTCTCTGAAAGAGATGGTGTTTGACTATCTTAAATCTATATAACACTACATTAATAGATCCTACCTGGGCAAAGCAAAAGCGGGTCATTACTACATATGATGGCGAGAAATTCGCAGAATGTAGGGGCTAGAGAGAAGAGGAGAATTTTTTTCTGTCGCCACTTGGTGACTCAATACAACTACAGTGTAAACTCTATATAATGACAACCATGGGACTGTGCATATTTTGATGTTATAGAGAGTTGTCATTAAATGGAACGAAGAAAAATCTATATTAGAAGAAGAAAACTCTTTCTCCCGCCTCTATTGCGTGTATCAGTAATACTTTTTTGTCAATACACAGTGATTTTCTCCTACTTGGCATGTTTACAGTTTCAAAGTTTGTGAGCAACTAATAATATGATAACATATTTATATTCCTATGACTCCTACATGGAGTTTACACTGTATAAATACCAAGTTTCAGTCAGATTGGTACCTTTTAGGTATCACAGGCTAAACAAGTCAATTGGGAAGTCAACACTAACTATGGATAAAATTGAGTTTCATGCTATGATTAAATTCCTTACTAAGCAAGGAAAAATGCCACATATCATTATGAAAGAGATTCTTGCCCTTGAAAAATGATGATTTATTGGTGGCATAACCTTTTCTGATTGATTGAGTAAACCTTTTTAGACATTGCTGAAAAAGTTGAAAAACTTGTTTTTGAAGATGCTTGTCTAAAAGCGAAACAGTCATTTAAGACCATTTTAAACATTATCCATGACTATCTCGACGTGTATAAGGTCAGTACAAGATGGATACCAAGAATGCACTCCGCTTTAGAAATAACAGCGGGTCGACTGTCCCCGCGAGTTTATGGACCTGTGAAGAGAGTACAGAGGCAAAATTATGAACTAAATTGTGACTAGGGATGAAACTTGAGTTGAAGTAAAAACATGCTGTAGCATAAAAAAGACGCAGCACCGCCTCAGGAGTTCAAGGTGTCACAATCGGCTAGAAAAATAATAGGTTCAGTTTTTTGGGATTCATATGGGAATTCATTGTTCGATTAATAAGATATAGATGCCAATATCATGGGACATTATTAAGCTACGCTAATAGAAAAATTCAAAGATGCAATTATATAAATAAATTTTTGCATGGCAACGCACCCATTTAGATTAATCATGCTGTGATCGTTTCCGTGTACAAGTGTGGCTTTGAACTTTAAAGCAACCTCCCTATAGTTCAGATTTAGCCCCTTCGAATTATTATTTGTTCCCAAATATAAAAAAAGAGCTTTGGGGAAAGA